ACCAACCAGCAGGGGTAAAGGGCTTCGCTGAGTAGAAGGTCAAGATCCCGAAGATGATTTGAAGAGCATCTCAACTACAACTTCTTAAGGGACATGCCTGTCTCAACACAACTCCAGAAATTGTGAGCACATATATTCCCTTTCCCTAGTAATTCAGCTGCTGTATGTAGGGTAAGAATTTTGTGATGGTAGTAGAAACTCTCTTTACTACATGACAGGGAAAAATACCAAAGATACTATCCTTTTTAAACACAGAAGCCAATGCATGTTCCCTTAATTATTCTGTCAGTCTTCACTGGGGTTTTAAACAATGAACTGTCAAAAAGCCTGTTGCCTGAAAAAAAAAACACAACCCCCCCCACAAAACCCAAAATCCCACCTCATTTTCAGTCATCCTTCCACCCCAAATAACTAACCAGTGGTTACAAAACTTCATCAAAACCACCCAAGTGTTACAAGAGACACCAGTCATTAGGAAGTAATTTCCCAGGATTTCCCAGTGTGAAGCTTATGAGCAGAATCTGGACAAAGCATGGAATAAAATAATTTTAAAAAGCAGAAAAGTTATTTTGATAAACTAAAAATAGGCAAGTGTTAAGATAACAGCAGCTACCAGAAAGGGGGGGGGGGGAAATCTTCACAGAGCTGTATATACCCACCTTTGTTATTCTTATCTTTGTACATACAAAGACTATTCAAAGATGTTTCCATTATGCATCAACAAAATACTTTCATTTTTGGATCTTTCAAAGTCATACTAGTAGTGCTACACAGGCAGTGCAGCACACAACATTTTGTGCATTCATCACAGAGGTCATGAAACTTGCTGTCCTCTTGTAAGATATAATGAGGTTGTCATGGCACTTTGAAGTCAGGGGAGAAATCCCCTAACAGCTGTAGCAGCGCTTTTTTGTTTTATTTTCATACATGTCCCCATTCCAAGCAGCTTTCCCAATTCCACAAGTGTTAAGACAGCAGACATGCCACTGGTAAGCTGCCACCTTCCACACTCACAATAACAACTCATAACACAGTTAAACCCACAGTTCCCTTTCCTTTGGGCTTCATTAATTTTGTATTTATTTGCCTGGGTAATTGGTCTACCTTCAACATTCCTTAGTCTGAACAGTTCCCTTTTGGTCACAATTTAATTTCCAGCAGTTATGTTCTTTTCCTCCTAATATACTGAGGAACCATCTTGCAATTGTAAATTAGTAAAAAAACCTCGAGTGTTTCCAGTCTCTTCCTCCTCCCCAGTATCTACAAAGGACAAGCTAGGCAGATCAACCCGCACTCCTTTTTTCGTGTGTCTCAACATGCTTCCCAAAATCCCACCGTATCTGTTGGGCTGTCCTGTTTCTTTCTCCTGGCTCATTCCCCCAGTTCCTTCCCATCTTAACTCTCCTGCTCCTGCATCCTTTCTTCCCTTGGCACTGCACAGGAATACCTGTTGTCATGCTTCCAGTTATGCAATGCATTTCACCCTCTTCCTTCCTTTCTACTTTCCCCATTTCTACCTCTGAAGCTCAAGTTCACTAAAATGCATGACCATTGTATGGATTTCTTCACTTCTCACATCCTTCCACATTTCTAACTCCTTGTTTCCTAGAGTATCCCACATTTCAAAAAGGCACTTTATGTTGCTCAGCGTTGTTACTAATCACTCTTGCACTCACTCCCTTTGCTAGCTCTCTCACTTGCTCCTTCAGCATCTCCTTTAATGATTCCAGTTACTCTTTTTACTGTGGGTAAGGTTTGTCAACTTCCTCCTATTATCCTCAGGCAACATCATCTGCAGTCTCCTATTGCTAAACTGAATTAAGAAATTGAGTGCTCTTCTCACTTGTCCCCTCACCTTCTTCCTTCCAGCAAGCTGTCAACACCTCAAACTCTAAATGGTGAAAATAAAAAAAAGCAAGAGATACCCATCTTCCCTTTCACGCATGTCAGCACTCTAAATTTACGCTGTATCCTACCCTCAAAGTCTGCATGACTTATTTTTTCCTCCTCAAAAAGTTAAGCCTTCCCCCTTATTTTTCCCCAACTACCAAGCCTTGCTATCGCTGTACTTTGGCCAGATATAAACACTTCTTTCCAGCCAGCTGGAATTTATGTAAATCTCTCCACAATCTCTTAGAAGTCACATTCTTCCTTCATTATTTGACATCACTAATCTTTCAGAATCACCCCAGAGTAATTTCTTCAGTGTGCCCATCCTTATTCGTGCCCTTCTCTCTCTTCCTTAAACTTCTGTGCCAAAGCTTGCATCATTCTTAATGTCTCACTTCTCCTAAGCCCATCTTCTCTCTGCGCCACGCCATGAGTCACGCTGCCACCCAAAGCCAACTTGCTACTCCAGCAGAAAAACTGAAACTTACACTCACAGACATCCAAAAAATTCACATCTACAGCTCTGTACAGAAGTTAACTCTTTCTAGGCAGAAATCACTGAAGCCTCAAGTGATCCTCCCCATCACAAAGTGCGCTATTCCATACTACGGAGTGCCTTACCTGAGTACATATTATATAGAAAATAACTGAATTTATTAATCTGAGACAGCAGATATTCAATTAAACCCAATTAAGTACCATTAAGTATGCATGTTAGGTGACAAGGAAAAGAGGTACAGTGGTAAGCATCATACCTATCAATTCTGTCATCTCAACACTGGACCACAATGTATTTAACAATTCAAACACACAAGGAATAACAGTGTACCTTTATTTTAACATGTGCACTGCACTGATGCAGTAGATACAAGGCCAGCAGACTTCTCTTTGCACAAACTATCAATCAAGTTTGGTTTTTTTTAATACTTAAATCACATTTCTAGTTGGAAGCAGCATTTAGTGCAAAGAATAATTAAGAAAACCCTAATGTTAACCATACCTTGGGAACTGTTTGCATGTAGTGCAGCAACCAGAGCTATTTCCCATCTGGCCTTAAACATGGAAAACTGATCAGCTATAGCAGTTTGCATTTGCAAATTCTAACACAGAGACTTGCTTTCCTTTTAAAAAAAAAATCTACACTACAGCAAGAAATAAATACTGACTGACAGTGTGTATATATTTGCTCATATCAATTCAGCAACTTAAAAAAATATAAAGATAACTTCAGTGTTTGCTGAATTGCTTTATTCTGCATCTATCACTTTGGAAAAAAAACTAAGTTAAAAAAGTTTAAAGAGAAAAAAATAGTTTCTCCTACCCTTTGCATACTGTATCAGTTGAGAACACTTGCAAGCACTGCTGCCTCTCACCTATCACTACGGAATTCTGGTCCCCTGGTCATTCCAGGAACCCATCAGAGAGCACCCCTGCATGCCAACAGGCCTGTGCCCAGGCAGCCTTGCGCAGCGATGCTAAGGAAGAGTGCCAGCCTCGATACAGCGAGCCTGTTGCACCATCTTCCAGTTCACAAGTTTCTTCGCTAAAAAACAACCACACCCCTATGTGTTACAACAGTTTTCTACATCTATCAATCTCACTCAGGAACACATATGCTGTAAGACCCGTCCCACTGAATGCCCATGCGCTTAATTTCACCTACATGAGTCATCACACTAGGAATCAATGGGAATATTCATGCTTGCAAAGTTAAGGATACACGTAACTGTTTAAGACTGCATTTGTGTGCAGCTATTCGACATACTGATTGCAGTCCTGCATTATAGGTGAAGGGTCACTACTAGATCATAGGTAGTGATATCAAGGTATTTTTTGGGGTGTATACAGAGCTAAAAGACTCAGGGAATACAAAACACTTCTCCTCCCAAAGAGCAGATGGCTCTGCCCTTCGGGAGCTTTTAGAGATGCACAAGCTTTAGGCCACTGAAGAACTATGCCCCATGTATATTATCAAAGAATTAACATTAACTGCAATAATTTAAAACAGTAAGACTAAAGAATACTTCTATTGGCTCTCCGAACTGAAAAGCCTTTTAACAGCATAACTCTACAGTACAAAAATAATTTTACACCAAATGAAGAACAAGTGTTTTGCAAGTTTTCCAGCATCAGTCTGGAATTCTACATAGGGTAGCCAGATTTCGAACACACTATATATGTGGGATGCAGTGAAATTCTTTACATATGATTTAAGGATACAGATCTTAGGAGTGTTTTTTTGTTTTGTTTTCATTAACAGCATCTTGGGGGAGAAGGAAGGGAAATCAACTCCCTCGAATAAAACTAAGACAATGTTGATATTAGATGCTGAAGGAAAACATCATCATTCTGGTCTGGGATTAGAGTGTTTAGGGAAATAGTGCACTTTTTAGTCTACCTTGGTAATGTACAGAAATGCACAGAATGGTTATATCCTTTCTATCTCCTTTCAAGTGGGTTCTTTTAAGTATTGAAAGCAAAAGTTTTAGTTAGTGCATAGCACACCCTTAGAAAAAAAAATGGCACTTTTCAGACAACATGAGAAACAGTTAAAGAAAAATGCATTATGTTTCAGAACAAAACCACAATGCAACCTAGCCTCCACAGATTTTTACACTGCAAGTGACCCTAATTCAGCAAGAGCGCAACGCAACATGGTCAATCTGCAGCAAGACAACCAAGACAACCTACTGAAGTATATATACTTGCCTCAAAACATTCCATATTGGGGCACAGGAGTCTAGATCACACCCACATTTTTTTCCCCCTCCAAAGCAACCTCTCCTTCAAGATCCTTGTGCTTCCCATAAGGTTAAAGAGCATATGTCCACTAGAACCTCACTACACTCGATTCCTTGCACTGTGGTGGGATGGAAAGCCAGGTTTTATTTTCAAGCTGATATAGCTCAAAGAGCCTCTATAACTTACTGTTATATGCACATCAAAATCCAATTAATGAGTGTGGCAGCAGCTAAAGAATTCCATGAGGTGAGAGGTCAAAGATACATCTCCTGTAGAAGAGATTACAGCAATGGTGAAACTAGAGAAAATAACCAAAATTTAAGACCCACTTTCTTCCCTTTGTAATTAATTCACTTAGATTTTTTTACTTTTTTTAGTTATGATCTTCTCTACATGGAAGCACTGCAGTGTTCATTTTAAAAAAATAACCAAGAAATACACCCTCCATCCTTAAAAAGCACCATAGATTAATCTGGTGGATAACCAAAAAAAAAATAAAAACAAACTCCATGAAACACTTTTCAGGGATGAAATGCTAAAAGATGTACTTTTTTAATCAATCAGTTTGTGAAGATCTACAAAAAATAAAAAGGATCACATTCTAAAGGTTCAGTGCATTCAGCAGCTATATAGTTTTGCTGCTTTTTCTTCTTTAAGTTGACTTTCAAAAATAACACCCTAGCTCATCAAAATATACATTTTCCATTTGCTTTTAAATTAAAATAATAAAAAACATTTAAAGAATTCACAATCAATAGCATGACTAAGTTTCAGGATCATCTACAGCATATAATTTAAAGGTTCAAGATGTCAATATGCAGCACGTGGAAGGCCTATATGCTCCATGCAGCATGTACACTTAGGATAATCTCAATCTTGATGTTCAGATGACAGTTTGTTTCTTCCAAATAGTGTAGAATACCCATCTGGAAAAAAGAAGCAGTTAAGGAAAAAAAAAGACAAACTTCGTAGTAGACAGTTAAAATGGAAGTAATTATTTTTAAGTAAATTTTGATTCTGAATACTTCTGGTGGCTCATCAAGGAGGAGTAGGTAAAAACTCTCCACAGTGAAGTCTCCATGAATCCTCTTTTTGGCCTAGCTGTTCAAGACAGCATCATATTTCCACTGCAACCCTTTGCAGACCTATGTTTTCTAATTCCTGCAGCACATCTTCAGGCAGCTTTTTTTCCTTCATTGCAGCCACTGACCAAGTGACAGAAGTACCTTCGCTAAAGTGACCGAAACTTTGATTCGATCTGGGATCAACCTCGGGTTCCTCTTGCTCATCTTCTCACTTGTAAAGTAGAAAGCTCAACTAGGAAGGAGACATCCAGCTACTGAATGTGTGAATCCTTAAAGCAGACACAATCAGACAAAATTAATACAGAAGTGCTCAGCAGCTGAACACTAGGTGTCCGTGTATCTTACTTGGCAAAGATTTAAGTGTCTACTGCCTCTTAAATACCTCAACAGGGGTTCTCTTGAGCACTCACTTAACAGATGCATCTAAATTTTGCTTAGACTTTTCTCTAAACGCTTCTGCAGTGTTTGCCTTGGGTACCTAAACACTTTTCAGAGAGCAGACCTTTATGTCACCCAGACTTGAGCCAGAAACAAATACAGAGCAACTGGCAGCTGTGTCAGTGCTCTTTTTGCTGCTCCTCTCAGGGGAAGATGGACCCAGCTTCAGCACAGTCACACAGAAGCTATGCTCGAACTAGCGCTCTCCAAGTTAGCCTGCCCCGACAGAGGACTGATCCTCAAGAGCTCTCTTGCCATGCCAGGCACATGAGAGGTCAGAGCTACATAAGCAGGCAGGAGGATGAGATGTGAACATCACCTTTTTTTAGAGCTACAGAAACAGCTGCAGAGTAAGGCATGCGTTTCTGGGATTTATAACTTAGCGAAGCAATAGAACGATCTATGCTCTTCTGTTTACACAGTAAGGTCACACATGCTTCCAGATGGAAGCCTCCACATTCATCCTAAGATCCTGGTGGAGACCTCAGACACACATATGCCTTCCTTAAAATAGAGAGATGGCTTTTGTAGCTAACAGCTACCTGAATTTCAGATGATCCCAACAGCAACACTGGTTACTTAATTCTGGTGTTTATAATTACATACAATAACAGTTCTTGAAGAAGACAAAACAAGTAACAATAAAAAGTGATAAGCCAGGTTAGTACTTTCGCTGCATTCAGGTACACACGTAGGTAACAAATTATGAAAATGAACATTTGCCCAAGGGAAAAGATTTGGTTCAATGGCTCAAGAGATTTCAGGCACTTAAATGAATGTCACAAATGTGTCACTCGAAGAATTAAAACCCTAAATTTGTATTACTCTTCAGAATTCTACTTTAACCTACCACATCCCAGTTATCTGTGAAACAGCATTTAGGTATAACCTTTCATTCAGATACATATTCCTAGTTGGAAAGGTTTAGATTTCAAGAATGGTGATAATCTATACCTGAAATGAAGGTTAAGGGGTATCAGAAGTCCAAGGCCAAATTAAAAGTTAGAATACTTACTTTGGGGTAATTCAAAAGTCATCAAGATGACTTCTCCTTTAACATTCCTGCACCTATACCATTACATCATTGCTTTTTCTGAATGAATTAACAATCTAATAAAGCCTGCCCCATTTCTCTAAGAACTGTTCGCTTTCAAGCTCCGTTACACCTATTTAATGGCCAGTTTTAATAAGTTTATTGCTAAAAGCGTTTCATATGTGTTAGCTTACTAGAAACACTTAAATGGATTTTTCAAAAGGAATGAAGTAGCACATCCTACTGTACTGATTTAGAAACATTTTGCATGCTTCCAAATAAACAACACAGTAATTATTTAGAAGACTTACTGAGGGTGTGTACTTCAAACCACATGAATGTTGCATTAAGGTCTGCCAGTTATAAAGGCAAAAATAACCAATTTCTCAGAAGTTGTTTGCTACAAGAGCAAATATCTTCATATCCTTTTACATTCTTTGTCTTGAAAACATTTAGATTGAATCTGAATTTCACTGGAGAGCTGACAATAATGAGAAGCAGGAGAAGCTTCTTATAGTCAGTATGGAGTCCAGAACAGGAGGCTACAGCATTAAGCAGTATCAAGATCAAAGACAGAAGGGAGGCACAGAACACAAAAAAGGCTGTCGCAGAGTTTCACACACAACATATTATGAATAAGCAGATCCTGGAATGATCCGTGCTGTCAAGAGAGGGACAGCCACAACAGGCGTTACCCTGCAGAAACATTTCCTGGGAGATCACACAGAAGTTGTAAATTCTCAGTGCAAACGCAGCCAGCAGCACCACCCTATAGCAGATCAAAACACTTCTCTAAAGCTAATGGTTCAAAGATTAAACTTCTACCTTCTTATATAACTTGTCAGCCACCCACAAAAAGACATTCTGAAGGATTAAATTTTAGGAATAGGGTGTTGCCGAGAAATGCATGCGCCATTTGGAATATTTTTTTCAGTAATACTAACTAGTAATGATTGCTAACAGTCACTTCCCCACCACCCCAGTTCAAAATCCAGATTGTGCCACATATTCAAGAACAGATCTATCACAGAATATTTGAAGATCTGGATCATGCTAATCTGTATGATGTTAGTTTGGGGTTTTCCATGAAATAAAAAGATACAGCCTTGCCAGAACTCCCAGACAGCATTACCCTCATCATGCAGTTTATCCTACATCACAAACAATACACTTGGAAACACTCAAATACATTAACAAAAACACAGCCTGATCTTCAAAGGTGCTGATCATTTCACTAGCTGTGAATTTATGGCACCTTTGAAAAATAATTCCTGCAATTATCCTCAAAATAAAACTGCAGTAGTTCATTTACTACAAAAAAAACATTAATAGTGTTTAAATCAGAACAGCTTTCCTGCACTTGAGCTCATTACCTCCAAGCAATCTAGGCTTGTTTAATATATTAATATACACCCCCCACTCTTTTTCAGTCTTTAAGGATACAGTTCCATGTAGGAGGGAACGCAGACAGTTTCTTTTGAGAACTCCACAGGACAGTAAAGCCTGCTAAGCTGTTCTTCATACAGAGTCAAGGCTTCGGTCAGATTGATACAGTTTCCCTAAAGAAAAAAAAAAGTCCCAGTTAGAATCAAAAAAGCAAAATTACAGATGAATGTATATATCTTGACATTAATGCAAGAATCCCACATACTTCAGAACCAGATACATGCTGTTCTTAATATTTAATATTTACAAGGCAAATACTGAACAGCTTGTCTTCATTCTGCCTACAGCAAACAGTAATTTGTATCTTTGGGAAAGGGTAAGTATGGGGGATTACCTATCCTTATTAGCAGAAGCAACCATTATATTAGGGCTTCCAGTTAAAACAGACCACCATGTGTTGTTTACCTATAACATCTACTCAATAACCATTTTCTTTATGACTGCTTTAATGTATTAGTAAACAGTATTAAAACATCCAGATTTTCTCAACTATTTAACATTGCCTAGGTTTTACTAATTACTCAGCTTTTGTTTTCCAGATACAAGACACTACATAAAGACCCACCAAGTATGAACATACTGTTGCTGTGGCACAGCATAGAGACAAGACATTCTGTAATTCTGGTCAAGGAGGAGGTGATATCAATAGTCCTTCGCACTCTGACAGCCAGATGAATTGATTAGTGGTCTTCTACTTCCACCACTCTCATGCGGAACCTTCATCTTGAACTATAGGCCCTAAATATAGTTCCCAAACGTGCTACGCACTACACGTGAACAGCAAAGTTACACGATGACAATGAATCTACCTCACATACAGTATGCGCACATCTGGTCATGTGGGGCAGGATGAGAAGTCTTCAGGAGACACTTGTCCACATCCTTCCCTAATGGTTGGGTTTACTAGCTTATAGTGTAAATGTCTTCTAGCTTGACCTAGCACAACACCTACTTTCATCTGATTTCTTGTCAGTAGAAACAGAAGCATTAAAAGTAACTCTGGAGAAATGCTAGTTAACATAACTCCTCAGCTTTCCCAGACATTTTACCACTTGTAGTGGAGGAACCATGAACAATGCTAACCACAGAAGACAAACAACAAAAAAAGGGAACTTTCACGTTAATGAAAACTAAATTCCTAGTAGCCTAGCATACGAGCCAAAGTCCCACTGTATGATGGCAAGAGACCCGAGGCACACAGGTTTGCTAGTTTTTTACTAATACAGTCAGCTTCTTGGTTTCTAGATTACTCTCTTCATGACTGGACTGACCAAAAGCCTTCCAGCGTAAGCATTTCTGAGCACAGTACAGCTTTTGATCTTTAAAAGCCTCGAACTTTGCAAGAGAGACATGGACAAGAAAGTCTAATGCAATAGACTCCACCTATGGCATAGCACTATCTTCCCTCTGCTCTGAATGACTTCTGGAAGTGTTTGCATACACACACGGTTTTGTATTTTCCTCAATTACTGAAAGAGGTATCTTGTCCCTTTCCTGCCCTTAGATAATGTGTGAAAGAACACAGAAGGTTCAACTTGATCTAATAACAAAAACACTGAATAGGCTGTGACTGTAAGAGAGCTATAGTTTAAAGATCTCTAACTTGAAACGAAGGTCAAATTCTGTAGGACTCCAGGAACAAATAATTTATTCAACACTCCCAAAATGTCTGCACTACCTATGTTTCACATGTGTTAGCAGAGCAATGCACACATGAAGCTTTTAACTCTGAGAACAGTCTTTAAGAAAGCCACATTTTACCATTTAATTTCTGCGTCTCAGCACTCCCAGATTTTTTAAAATGGCTTTAAAATAATTGAGTACACACAGATGCAACCTAAAGTTAATTTTCACAAAGCAAGGAACTAAGATGAGTTTGACAAATGCTACTGGCGCTTTGAAAGACGACTTATAATGGACAGAGGCTGAAACAAGAAGAGATATTATTTGTAATCACTGTGTCTAAACAGCTCCATCTACACTGTTTTTTCCGCTTAACAGACAACTATACAAAGTGTTAAATGCACAATGACTTTGCTATTTAAACTACTTTTTCTACTACTTATTGTTAGTATTTTTTTCAGTGGAAATACAAATGTTTTAAATACAGGGGAAGTAAAGAGACTTCATCCTACTGTTCTTCCTCTGAAATTTTTGCATCATGCTCAAGTTTACACAAGTGGAAAAGAAAACTCAAGAATCCTATACACTGAACCTTTTTAAAAAAAAAAAAACATTCTTGAAAGCTCTCTTTCAAAAGAGCTTGCATGAAACCAGAGTTTGATTACCATTTGATCATACTCCACGAACAAGTGTGCATGTGGTTATTTGGTAAAGGAAGATTGTGTGCTTTATATCAAATATATCATATTTGGGCTTGGGTACCTGAAAACAGAAGAGGTTTGTAAAAAGGTAAGCTAGGACGACTAACTGTGCACAACTGCACAAAGGACAACGATGAACAGACTACTGCAGTACTTGTTTAGTAACCTGTTATTATCCAAGTGACCGTAGCAGTTACTTGGTTCAGTCACCCTTTACCAAACACATAATTTTGCTTCAACATCAGACTGAATGCAAAAGAAAACTAAAAACCACCTGTGTGTGTTATTTGAGTCATAAATAGAAAACACTGCCAGGTAATTTATGGAGCATACCACTATTACAGAGAAAGTTTAATAGGACACACAATGAAATAAAAGTATCCAGTTTCCCAGCCTGTCACTTCAGTACTTCATCTTTTCTCCTTTCTCCAGCAACAGAGAAATCACTGCAGATAGTGTGGAAAACAAGTTACAGGAGCAACGAAACACGCCAATAAGCAATTTTAACTTCTCATACTCACAGCTCCCCAGTCTCCAGATCAAGATCTTACCTAAGGGTTCACACATGCCACCTAGCTATTCTACTAACCTCTCCTTTTGGAGACACACCACAGGATTTCACAGTTCTGAGCAGCTACAACTTTTCTGCAGTTATTTGTCCTTACTCTACAAAAAGCTACGAATTCAAAAAGTCTAATTCACAAAATACTTGAACGTACTTCAGTAAAAGAGAAGTGTTACTGAAAAATTACTATTAACACCTCTGTAAGAAAAGGCCAGCTTTATAAGTCCACAGTGCTGATAACTAAAGTCAATCACATTTAGATGTTCTTGTATCACTAAAATGACAGCAGGAACCAAGCTCAAAATGCAGCAGTGATCAGCCTAATAACCTGTGTTCATTTTAACTCCTCTGCCTAATGAAAATAGTTATGTGGTAGAGCAATACATTTTTTTTGTTCTGAACAGCAACCATATAGTCAAACAATAACCAATATTGAACAGAGTGTTTAATAAAGTTTAAAGCTGATGACTCACCAATTATACTTTTGAAAAATTATTTTTTTCTCCCACACTGCTCAGTAACTCCTCTGCCCGCCCCCCCTTACTTCATCTTTGTTCCATGTCAAACAATTTGACAGCTAAGAAATGGGGGAATGCAGGGAAAAAAAAAGGTTTCTCCTTAACAAGCATCTCTAACACAAAAGTATCAGAGGTCATTTTAAACTTCAGTTCATCTCAATCTGTGTGTATAAGACCTTGTTTCAGACTGACGATTCCTGAACTGTTTCACAGCCTTTGCGTTCCGAGTCTGCTCAGTGCTTGCACACACTTCAACAGCTCATGACAGTCTCCCAGCATCAATTCTTCCAGGCTTCCATAAAGCATATGTTATGGGGTACCATGGGTTTAGTTTTCAAGTTTCTACAGCACAATGCTCAACAATTTACACACAGTTCTGGGCAGACAATAGAAAATACTCCTGAAAGATAGCAGTAAAAAAGAAAGTTGAAATTAACCCTATAAAGGTCTAGTTAACTTTATAGGTGGGTAAAGGGGATATTATCTACCACCTGGTTACAGGCCAAATTTAGGCCACTACGTCTCCTCCAACCTTAGAAAGCAAACTAGTGACCTGAAAGCAGGTGGAAGGGTCCCTTTCCATACCTGCCAATTTCTTACAGTCATTCTCACACTATACCTCTTACCCTACATGTCGCTGATACTGGACATCCTTGTCTGTGACAATATACTAGAGAAGTTCCATTTTTCTTTTAATTTTAACATGGTTTTCTACTTTTATTTTGTAATGACAAATGAAGGACTTGAACAGGGCCGAGGTTTTGGGTGGTGTGGGTTTTGTGTTTTTCTGTTTGTTTGGGTTTCTGTTTGTTTTGGTTTAATTTTTTCATTCCTTACTTCAGACTTTGTTTGTTTTGTTTTTAGTTTTTTCATTCCTTACTTCAGAGTGACTAAGAAGCAAGGAGAAACACGGAGCTTGAAAGACTCAACACTAGGTTTGAGTTTTGGGTGCAGGGATAGCTTTTAAGGCGATAACAGGGGCAGACCTGACTGAAGGTATCTCCGCTGGCTAAGCGATCAATTAATTTAAAACTGATCTCTCAGTAACACAAGGAAGTAAAACATCTGTTCCTTAAAGACTCAAATTTCCAAGAAATCACACAGGTTCACACAGGGACACGCATCCGTTCCTCCAGCCACCTTTCACATCGCAGTTAAGGAGAACCCTCTTTGGAAGCACTAATTAGAAAACCCACACAGCAGCCAAAAAAAGGAGCATAACTATGGAGCAGTATCTCAGTGCTCTGGATGTTTAGAGGGCAGGGCCACACTGCATTAGAGACTGGCCAGGAAGCGACAGCTCAGTGAAGGGCCACGTGTGGGAGACATCTGATCTCCTGTACCAGTGGTTAAGTGCTGTTTACTGGAACGCAAGCCCATGACTGATTTGAGACTCTTTCTATCCTGTGTGGGTTGGATGACCCAGACTACGAAGGAGCAAATTCCTGTTCGGAGGTATTTTTATGAAGTGAAACCTTTAAAACAGGCTGAAAATGATAGCTTGCTCAACCTCAAAGGATTAGATCAGCAGAGCAAAAACTTCACACAAAAAAAGCATTTTCATAGCTACACGTAATCCACTGACACACAGAGACAACCTTACAGTCAGTCTCTATCTTGCAATGTATCTTTCACTGCCATTGGGACAATCTTCACGTGCTATGTGGAAGGCACAGGATAGTGATGGTTCAAAAAAAACCACACCA